ATCTTATTTTATTTTTTACCGCATAAATAAATCCGACCGTGGTGGTCGTTACTTTAAAACTTTATTGATATTGATATTGATATGTAAAAATTATTTTTAACAGAAAAATTTCAATGTAAAGGCTGGCCTATGTGATAAATTCGTGGTATTGGTCCGAAGTAAAAGATTTACGGGACATATTTGACGTATATATTAATATGGATAAACGACTTCATTTTTTTGAATTAATTTCAGATAAAAAACATGGATGAACATAAGACAAATGGTTACATAGACCTTGCTTTATTTTACGAAATAAAAACTTTACTGAAGTAAAGACATAAAAAATATAGCCCCAGAAGGACATACTATTACACGATACGAATATAAATAAAAAAATCTAATTATTCATTCCCTGGTTCACGTAGGGAGTATGCAATAATGTGATATATGTTTCTAGGAGGATTATCGTTGAAAAACTAGAGATTGGAGCTGGTGATCGCATGCGCCTTTCATCTACACTTCCAGAATAATAAATCTGGCGAATGTCGAGAGGAATATTATTGAATGGAGGTGACAATTGATTCTGAATTGCGGTTTGGAGATCATCAACCGTTGCATCTCTGGAAATCGTAATTGTAAGTACAACACTATTGATTGAAAGTTGATTACGTGGGCTATTAGGAATAGCAAGACAATTGAGAGTAATATTGTTGTTGGCCATTTTCACGTTTCCTAAATACGAAAACCCATAGTAAGTAAAATTTCGTTTTCATAGATAGGGCTTTGTTATAAACAATGAACACGAGTAAGCCAGACACATTACCTTATAAAAATTTGGGAAGATGAGAAATGATATCTCACAAACCCGGTTTATTTATATTGTTTCATTTGCTAAATCTGAGAACCTGTTAGAAAAAGAGATTAACATAATGATATGATAGTAAAATGTTTTCACCTGCAATTAACGGAATCTCTACCCCATAAAGCAGTTCTATTATATCACAAGCGCAAAGAGGGAAGTATATTTCACCTATTAAACCTTTCATTCTGGCGATCGCTTTTTGTAGAATGAAAAATAAGACAAATTTTGGCGATCTTCAGAGATTGTAAAGATCTCAAGTTCCATAACGTATGAAATTTGATATTATTACTGATAATAACAATAAACCTTCCATTCTTTTATCCTTTTCAAGTTTCATTAGCATTTATTCTTATCAGAGGAACCATATACAATAAGAAAAGGCTTTATTATTATTATATGTAAATATGTAGAAAATAATTTTAGCGGTATCACAAAAAAATTCATTGTGAAACGAACAGATATTATAATTTTTTTCATATATCGAATATTAATACTAATCCATATACATTACTTTTGTGTTTTCATATGTCATCGAGGTAACTTGACTATTATTAGAAGTTCATAGAACGTGTATATATATTAAATATCAGGTAATCTATTTTGAAGCTTTAATGATTTTTTTGTTTTTTTCAAAGATGTTGGGTTTTCAGTGTTAGGATTAGGTCTTTTTAGTGGATTTGTTGATTTTTTTTTGAAGATGTTAAATTTTCAGTATTAGAGATTGATCTTTTTACAGAATACATTTTTAATATGAGTATGAGATAGCAAAATTGTTATAAAAAATACATGGTAATATTTATGGTATTTATGTATTTATATGATATTATTGTTTGTTTTAAAATTTCATAACAATTAAAAATATTCATGAATATTGTTGTAACAAATAGTAAAAAGAATGAATTAAACATTTTCTTACAAACAAATACTTTTAACTTTTAAAAATAATAACGATAAAAAAATACAGATAGTCTCATCTATCTGAATATTCCTAAACATAATTAGTTTAAGAATACTTGATATATAAAATTATTTAATTTGGATATTCTAATTCGTAATTATTATTATTTCAGATATGATATTAAATAATTACGAAAACAAATAATCAATTCAATTGTCAATTGATTAATTAAACGCATAATGCTTTTCTAAATCAATGGTATGATCCAAAAAAACAGGATAATTGATAATAATAGTAAAAATGATTTTTAACATTTTAATTAGTTAAACAATAATCAATTCAATTAATTAATAATAAATAAACGATGCTTTTCTTATAAAATGAACAAATCAACGTTATGATCTTCATCAAAGAAAAGGGTCCCGTCCACTTTACCGACAACACGCGGCGTGATATTTTAGCGTTTTATTAGTCGTTTGATTGTGTGGAAGTTAAAAGTAACCCTGTATGTTGTCGGTGAAGTGGGTGTCGTTAAAGTGACCCAGACCCTAATGATCGTTTTAACAATTATTCAAATATAGGCGGGTTTGATCGAAATAAATGCTAAAGTCAAGATCTATTTGTAAATCATTATTGAATAATTATATAGACGGGTTTGATCGAAGTAATCGTTAAAGTCAAGATCTATTAAGCTGTTTGTAAAATATATTTAATGGCGCTTTATCAATTATTAAATAATCATATAGACGGGTAATAAGTGTTAGACAAGATCTATGAAGTTTGCAAAACGAATGTTTACCAATTATTCAATAATTGTTTGATCGAAGTAAATATTAGACAAGATCTATGAGGTTTACAAAACGAATGTTTATCAATTATTCAATAATTATATAAGCGGGTTTGATCGAAGTAAGTGTTTAAGTCAAGATCTATGAAGCTTGTAATCCAGTTTTGCAAAATGAACGTTTTATCAATTATTCAATAGAGGCGGGTTTGATCAAAGTAAGTATTAAAGTCAAGATCTATGGAGCTTGTAATCCAGCTTTGCAAAATGAATATATAGGCATGATCGAAGCATTTTTAGTAATAAACAAATAATCAATACAATTGTCAATTTAACTAAACGCATGACGCTTTATTTTTAGTAATAATAATCAATTCGATTGTCAATTGATTAATTAAATGCGTAATGCTTTTCTTAAAAGTAAACAATCAATGGTATGATCCAAAAAAAAAAAACAGGACAAATGATAATAATAGTAAAAAAAAAAATTGTTTTTAGCATTCTTTTTGAAATTACCATCCATCGAAAGCAAAAAATTCTCCAAAAAATTAGGTTTGAAAAACAAAGATTTTTCCTGCAATTGCAGAAGCAATTATAAAAAAATTTGCCGTACGACAAATTTTAGCTAAATATGATGAAAACGTTGATCGCGCCAAAAACCGAAAAAACCAACATGGCTATACTAATACGTAAAAAGAGACAATCGACAAAAAACCTGCACGAAAGTCGCATGACTTGCGGATTTTGGAAGGAGATCGTGACACGGAAAATGTTTTATTTTTTCTTTGCGTTAAAGACAGTTACAAGAATTTTATACAAAAAAAAGATCTCATCAACAAAGTGAAAACAAGCTGGAAGGGAGAAAACTAAATCTTTATCGAATTTACACTTTTGGAACAACCGTAATCACTTGCTTTCAAAAAATCAATTATATGGGTGTGTTGCAACAAAGCCAGATACCATAATTGTATTACCAAATTAATTTTTTCCCGTCCTTTCTTTTAATTATTCAATATCCACCAGATAGGATAGACGATTGGAGTAATTAGCATCAATTGTTCCAAAGAATGAGTTGGTAGAATTGTATGGATCATTTCAAGCCTTTTTCAAGCCAGAACAAGACACCTTTTTAATGGCCCAGCAACTCGTAGCAATGGATAGATACTAGAAAGAGAGAACTCGCATCAATAACAGAACTTTCTACTGTTGAAATCATATCAGATTTTCTCTGCCAAAAAACCTATGTCAATATGTTGAGAATTGGTATGGCTTATTTCAGAAATCATTTGAAAATGATGTAGAGTTCATATGACCGCAGCGAAGGATTTTCTTTTTGCAGAGGTTCATGTTTGCTTTGTTGCAGTATAGGAAAAAAAAATAGATGATAAAAATCACACATACTCGCATAAATATTATGTACATACAAAAATAAATTTATAATTTATTATAACCTTTTTAAAATAATAAATAATCCTTTATTTATACGATCCAAAGTTTTGAATTGATTTTAAATAATCTTTACGAAAATTATTATCATCGGCTGGACCTATAAATACCAATATATATATATACATACATGTAAATATGAATTAATGATTCTTTTTTTATGAAAATGAATGAAATAACTTACGATTAATTGGTGTCCATTTTGGTTCCTTGTAATAAATTATAAATTTGTTGTTAAATTATATATTTTTTTTAATCATTTGTAATATTAATGAAAAGATTACCTCTTTAAATAAACCTAAAAACATATTATTAATAATTAAATAAACATTTTTTATAATAGTAATTGTGAATAATAATAAAATACTTACGCATAGCCTTTATGTAATCGTTGGTGTCAGTTGTAAAACGATGATAAATTCCTGCAGGCTTCATATAAAAAAGTGAATGAATTGATTTATTAATTCATTAATCATATATATGTGTGTGCGTGTGTGTGTATGTTAAATAATATATTTTAATTTATTAATTACCAAAATAATCAAATCTCCTTTAGTGACTGCAATACGAATCCATTTGTCTTGCAAATCTAAATCAACATAAATATTTGTAAAATTATGTAAAAAAGGATATTTCCACATTTCAAAGATATATATACATACCTCGAACATCAAAATACCCAGAACCATCAAGAACATAACGAATTTCTTCATCTTCATGAAGATGTCTAATTAACATAATAATTATAATTAGTATTTATAAAATAAAAAAATTAATTAACTATCCATTTACTTACTCTTCAAAAAAAATTTTCATTTTATTATCATACATATCACCTAATGCTTCTTTCGAGACTACAATCTATTTATTTATACATAAATATATATATTTAAATATAGTAAAATTATTCTCCCCCCAAAAAAAAATCAAATCATTACTTCATCACGATTTTTATAACGTCTTTCCTCAGATATTTTTTCAATTTTATCAAGAAAATCCTCTCCTTCTATATGTAAGTATGAAACACCAACATGTGCAAGTTCTTCAGGGGTAACAATGGTAAGTGGATTTTTTTCATGAGGTTCTTTTGGGTCTGAACCATCGTTGTCATCGTAATAATAAGCATGCATTTTTATCGGAGAATTTTATTGGTAATAAATAAAATAAACAGTAACAACATCAAATTTAAATTTAAGCCTTATCTATCACATGACTTTCAAAAATCATTATCAATTTAAATTTTAATTGCATATCTAACGATCTATTCACTTTGAAGCGGATATCTTCTAATCTGCTTCGTTGGGCATTTTCTTGATGACTTTTTCAAGTGTAAGTTAATATCTCATTTAACAGCCCCAACCCATATAAAAAATCCTGTACAGAAATGGGCTGTTTTTTCTGTAAAATTTTTCAATGAAGTTGAGTTTAAAGATAGCTCCTCAATTAATTGTGACATATAAAAAATCGAATTGCAGCTATTTGTAGTTCCCATCTTTAGTTGAGCTCATAATAAGATTTTGGATAGAAGATGGCTTGTCAATTAATTCTTGAAGGTTTTTGGTGTTTAAAGTCATATTGAATCACTAGGATATGTCTTGCGCAACAAGTCAAAGGTTATTCAAGAGAAACTTGTAAGAAAATAATAATGAAGGATGGTTATTCTGATAATTGCAACCAAATACAATCATATAATATATATTGAGAGAAATTCATAACACAACGAGGCTTGCTCTTAACGTTAAGGTGTTTCCTTTCTCATTCATTATTATTATTTACCAAGTTTTAATAATAAAATGTTGATAAAATTTTTGTTAAATGTAACTTTTCTCATTAAAATAAAATTACAACAATTAATGTATATTCTTGCCTTTCTTTTCTATATAACCGAATTGCCGTTCAGCTCAAAAATGGGTATTGCGGTAATTTGGTTTTTCAGCCTTTACTCCTTTTTAGGACGAGTATACTCGTGCAATAAAAAAATTTTTTAATTAAAAAATTGTGAAAATCATTTGCCTGTCCATCCAAAGTAGGAAAAATCACATTATTTTTTTAAAGTATGCTCATCTTTTTATCTTTTGCATCTTATTAATTAATTAATTAACAATTAATCAAGGAAGTTTATTTAAATTTTTAGCTCATTATTACGCTTTTATTTGTTAAAAAATGTCTCAAAGTAAATATATTAATCTTCCAGATATTGTAAGTTCTCATTTGTGGGTTATTTTCTTTGAACAAATATTTTTTATTTATTTGCAATGATAAAAGCTAATGAATGCTATTTAGGACACACAACCAGACGTTTATGAATCTCCTGATACACCCGAAGAAAATGACACTGTAGACGGTGGGGTAAATAATTTACTATTACTGTTATTATAGATTTTGCTGTTGTGTTGCTTTAAAATAAAAATTCAAAAAATTCTGGAATATCTTTTTTTATTAGAATTACCTTGACCTTGAAGAACCAAATGAAAATATTGTCAAAGAAAAAATTTCTGTAGGTGAAGCTGTTGATAAGTTTAAAGACAGTGTCATTGATGCTTCTGAAACTGGTATATTATATATATATGTGTGTGTGAATATGAAAATGAATATAAAAAATATTCATCACTGTTTCATTAATTATATTATATGTATACATGTTATTTATATTTTAGATTTCTCTGATAGTATAGCTCGTCGTAAAAAAAACATGTACAAAGTTTATGTTAAACGTCCTGTTTTAGATACAAATGAATATGAATACATATCTAAGGAACCAACATTGCAAGAAACTTCTGTACAAAAATTGAGAAGATTGATTTTTGAAGCTCAAGAGCTTGAAGAAGAATTGGAAAAAGATAAGGTAGTAAAATAAATAATAATACAATTAACAATTGATTGATTGATTATATATACACAGTGAAACTCGATTTAGCGGATAAATTTGGCCACTTGGTGAAAATTTTTCAAAAATCCGTTAAATCAAGATTTAATTAGTACATCCGTTATATCGAGAAAATTTACTATATAAAAATGCAGCCCAGTTCTGAGCCTCAGTCCGTTAAATCGAGATTTTTATTAGACATCCGCTAAATCGAAATCCGCTAAATCGAGTTTCACTGTGTACATCATTACATGAACCATCGTCACTTACTTGATCATTCTTTCTAACAAATATATATCAATAGGATGACGAATCAAAACCTAAAAAACCTCTTCACAGTGCTATGGTTGAACAATTATCCAGTTTACAGAAGGATCTTAGTCGATTATCTCAAAATATAGGTGAACAAGACTCTATAGATGAAAAGGAAGGGACAATAATAAAACAAGCTGAACTGAGTAAAAAATTAATTAATCAATTACAATCTTTCAAACACTCGGGTGTTCCCAAGGAAAATGGAATTTCAAAAGATAAAGATGCATCAACTGCAACTGAAACTAATGGCCACAATCTAGATGACGCAATTACAAAAAATGTAGGGATATTTTTTATTTGATGATGATGATAATATTATTATTATTATTATTAATGTATATTAATCGATTAATTGATTAATTATTATTATTACTATGAATAAATTAGATGATCACATATGAATTATATTATACACCTGAGACTGCAAGAGTTCATACTTTAGCCAAGACAGTTGAACTTGATGATCGTATTGCTGCTTTAGAAAAACTTGTTGGTACAGCTCATGGACAAAATTTTGAGGATCTTGTATGTTCTTATTAATAAATAATATATTTATTTATGAATTAATTCATTTAATAACATCATCATTATAATAATATATTAATGCAATATAGTCAATCTCTATAACAAATACCAATTTAATTGCTGCCATTGATAAACTTGATCAACATATGCAAATATTGGCACAACCACGTCATTTGGAATCTATTTCCAGAAAAGCTAAGACTTTGGTTGGTGAACTGGAGAAAGTTAATGAATTGAAGAATAAAGAACTTTCAAATGGTGGTGTCATTCCATTTGAAACTGAAGAGAAGGTGCTTATTTTATTAATAATTTTAATTTTAATATATTTGTTACTAGGTAATTATTAATAAATTAATTATATATATATATAGATAAACTATCTTTTTACACTTTTGGACAAAGTAGACCCTCTTATGTCAATTGCACCAGCTTTGGTTAATCGTTTGAAATCTTTACAACAATTACATCAAGAAGCTTCAGTATTCAGTGAAACAATTAAAATGTTAACCAGTGAACAAAATAAGATCAGTGAAGAATTGAAGAGTTTAGATGGTGTTGCAGAAAAGGTTTGAAGTTTTTTTGTGTACTTTTTTTATAATTGATTTCTAATTGATAATCAAATCTAATATGTATATATTTATATATAATTTAGCTTGAGAAATCATTTGAAATAAATGATAAAGCAATTCAACAAAACATTGATGTTGTTGATTCACGTGTCACAGACTTGGCTGGGCGATTAGATAAATTGTTGGTCAATTTCAAATAAAAACAAGCTTAATGATGGATTTTATTATTATTATTATATTAATTATATTGTTTAATTAATTTTTGCAATAAATTATTTGTAGATTAGTATTCTTGTTTTGTTTTTATTTATTTATTTATTAAGAAATCAAAAATCATTTTAGTTGTAAATAATTATAAATTCTTCAACATTAACATTTTTTCTTCTGGAACAAGTAATTAATTACATGAGGATAAATTTCCACACAGTGTTACTAACTGCCCAAAATGACTTCATTTGTCCTGGAAGGACTTAGTAAAAAACCACACCAAGGTTATGCGCAGATCCACCCATAAATAATATCATGGTTACACAAAAATATTGCAATATAAAGCATTCCTCTTTACAAATAATTATTGATTCACAACTTCAGGTTCTGAGCATATTTTTTTGATGTAATTAAATTTTCAGCATCTGAAAATAAACACTTGCTTGGAACAAAGATGGCAACAATTGAGCAATGCTACTGTGAATTAATGAAGCTAACCTTTAAAAAAAAAACCAAATTAATTCCATTTTATTAATAGCCATTCTTGAAAAGAGTCTGTTACACGAATTTGGTTTTGTTTGAAAATATTAAATAAACTTTGTTTGATACAATCTTCTATTTCATCCAGCAATGTATATTAATATATTAATATTATTAGGTAAAATGTTTATTATTATTATGAAAATAATATTTAAAAAGCAAATTTGAAGTTAATACTTTTCTATAAACAAATTATGTAATTTAAAAAAATAAAAATTTAAAGGTTGGAAATTAGAACTTAACTATTGAATTTATTATTATGAAAAAATTTAAGCCCAAAGTGAAATTGTGCATGTTATCCAATTTCTTAATTTATTATTATTATAGAACTTATAGAACTGGTAGTCCAACTTCATGTTAAGATTATCACTTAGTGGTATTTGTTTACCCTGGCAAAAAATACATCAAAATAAAGGATTTTTCATATATTTGTTATTTTTTATGATCAAAGTAACAATTTGATTAAATCAGGCAAGTTTGTGTATGAAACCGTGATTTTTTTCTTCATTTTTTCATATAAAATTCGTGTTGGTCAAAAAATTTTATACACTTGACCCCCTGTAGATCCGCAATGTCCTGCGACTGATATACCAAATATAATAAATGTGAGAATTTGAAAGAAAAACTTGGCAAGAGCTTTATTAAATGGATGTACAAGTCTCAAAATTATAAACATGTGTACTTTTACTTGTCTAGAAGCTTACCCAGGATTAAGATGTATTAATATATAGCATATTATTCTAATAAATATATATAATAATTTTAATTTTTGATATTCGTTAGAGTAATTTTATTTTGTTTAATCTTAAGAATCAAAATCAAAATAAAATAAAATAAGAAATTACTTTGTCGTTTTGTAGTCGTGACAAGAAAAGTTTAATTGTGACAGATCATAAAAAAAATAAAGAAAATAATCTAATAAATGGTAATAGCAGTTATCATGAGAATATGAGAAAGAATATATTTGTCCTCTGTAGCAGAAATATATATTTATGTAGAAATGTTAAATATGCATGAAGAAGTTTTGGAGAAAATTTTCTAATTAAAAAAATTCCTTTGCAACGGTTAAATGGACATCACCCTAACATTAATCAGATGTTTTATGACTTATAATTTTTATAACGCTAAAAACATTTTCTCAAACAACGACATTTTAATTAAAATAATAATGGTTATTAATCATTGACGGAAAATGCGTGAAAAATAAAACGACCGGTTTTACCAAATCTTAGTGATAATAGCGTGGAAAGATTGTGTAAGAGGTGAGTGTGAACGAATGGATTAAAATCAAGAAATGTTAGCATGCAGTTGGTATTGACGTGTCGAGGATAATTTTAGCTTAGAAACGGATTACGCATTGTGTTTTATAAAAAATTTAGAGATATTTTTCCTTGTTGAAGAAGAATTGAATATAATTTATAATGCAAAGTACTATATATATTTATCGTATATATATATATATACCAAGTATTTATAAAATTCATCGCATACATATGTATATTTGTTCTATTATATTAATAAATATTGAATTTTATTTCATAAATGTATAAAAATCTTAATAATCAAACATCTTAATAATTAAATATTAGAAAGTAAAACATTAAACGTGAGTATTATGCTAATTATTCCTACTGCTAACGAAATATTTGATGTTAATGATGGTGATGATGATATTGATGATGATGATGATGATGGGTTAGAACTGTATGGTTTTGGTGATGATATTGGCGTCGCTGTCGATGCCGTTGCTGTAGTTGGTGTCATGGCACTAGTAGTAATTGCTGGAGTTGGGCTAGTAGAATTATCACCAGGAAAACCAATAAATTCACGATATGGAGATTCAGATACACACTTGGCCACTTGTTCTACTTGAAAATTAGCACCCAAAACAATATCAAGGGATGGAATTGCCATTTTAGCAGCTATAGGATACAAGTCATGTTCCAAAGAAATATGACCAGTGGTTGCGGTTGTATTTTTTGCCCATTCAGTAAAATCTGTAGTAATAGAATCCGGTACAAAACCTGCATATGTTGACTTCCAATCATCTGTGTCATGATCCCATATAACAACTTTATATCCTAATAAGGCAAGTACACCTCTAACACGATTATCTATATCGCCATATGGTGGTCTCATAAAGCGAGGAGTCACGCCAACTGTTTCTTTGATGATTTGTTCAGTCCATTTTATCTCGGCTATAATTTCTTCGTTTGTTTGAGTTGTTAATTGTGTGTGCGACCAAGTGTGGACTCCGAGTTGATGTCCTATAAAATTGTAAATTATCATTCATTAATGTCAAAATTCATATAATTTTAATTTTATAGATGTTTTTAATTCACCTTCATTAAAAGTTCTTTTTAAAATATCAGGATTTTCCGTAACTCTGGAGCCAACAATGAAAAATGTTGCTTTTACATTTTTTGCCTTAAGATGATCTAAAATTGCCGGTGTATATTCTCTATTTGTTTATTTATATAAAATAAATATTTATTATTATTTCGAGTTCGAATATATAGATAGATAAAAGAAAATGAAATTTTATTTTATTTTACTTACGAAGGACCATCATCATAAGTTATACCCCATACTATGTTTCATAAAAATTAATTAATAATTAATTAATTAAATACACTTAATTATAACAAAACAATAAAAAATTTTGAAATTTTACCATTTTTATCAGGACAACGATCATAATCAGTAGTTTGATTTATGCAATTTGTACAACTCCAATCACAAAATGGGTCATTAGCAAGACAATCCGAACCTACTTTATTTTTTGGAACAATTGGAGCATTTGGGACTTGACTCAAGTCGATTGCCCATTCTGGTTTAAACGGTGGTGGTACATCAACTGGTGGATAAGTTGTAGTAGGCACTTGCGCCTCTGTGAATATTGCAGATGACAAAATAGCAATAACAACAAATAATTTCTTTGCCATGATTTCTTCGTGATTTTATTATTAAGCAAATTTTTTTTACTAGATTTTTTAATGTTGTTATTGTTATAAATGTCTTTATTTATGACAAAAAGATGTAAAACAAATTTGTTCAAAGAAAAAAAAAATTTCAGAGAATGTTATTTTTTTCAAGTATTTATATAAAGTTTTTTTTGTTATTTGATATAAAGATTGCTCTCATTGCATCACTACTTATAATGATATATGTATGTATTAAAACGCATGTTTGAATTGTGATTGTCGTCATAGTTTTATAAATCATAAATGGTTAGTGAAGCTATTATTAAATTGTATGAAAGAGCATAACACTTATATTTTTAAAAATTAATATCTACAAAGATGGATCTTTGCCTTCACTCATTCATTCTAAAAACTTTGCCTCTCTCCCTGGCAGATCTTTTGTCTCTATTTTTAATTTGCTAAAAATAAATAAGAAATCTCGAATTTAAATAAAATAATGTTTTTTGACAATTACTGTTTTTAGAAAGTTTTTAAAATGCTATTTGGTCATTTAAAAATAAACAAACGTTGGACATAGAATGATCAATCTAATTTACTTGGCAACTTGGCATATAATGAAAAAATCATGATAATGCGTGCGGTCAAAATTTTAGCCAATATTCATTCCATTGGTTGGCTACCACGTGATGTTAGATCCTTTGCACATCTCATACTATATAGTAGAAATTTTCAAACCTGTCTATTTAAATGTCCGCCTTTGGCAAAAAAATCAAATTATAATGTAATTCAACAAGAACAAAAGGCAGAAAGGCAGAAAGGTAGAAAATAATTCCGCACACGGCAATACATACATAGTGCATCTCGATTGATAAATTTCAAAACCGAATCTGTGTGTTATAGATAACGATTATTTATAAATCATCTTGATTTATCGGTCCATATATATTTGATTTATCGGATATTTTTAAGAACCCATAATGAAGATCATTGCTATTTTGAACTAGTGTAATTGTCAGAATTTTTTAGTACCTCGGGAATGGTTGAGAGCGCGTGCATTTTAATAGAGAGAAAGAATTTTATTGGTTCCACGCGACACTTGTCATACAATGCTAAAAGAAAATTGTTCATTGTGGTTTGCTTCATTGAATTTATTTTTTTAAATTGACATCCCTATCAACAAAATTAACTTGTTCTTTAGAATTTTCTTGTTGTAGTAAAAAAGCGTGGACAACTTCCAAACTTTTTTCGAACTTATGATTAAAGTGCTATAATCATCTTCTTCATTATTATCAGTAAGTATTTCTGGTTTCTTTTTATATGTTTAAACAGGACATATAATCAAATTAAGTCTTTATCAATTTAATTCTCAAAGAGGGATTAATAGAGAAAGAAAAAAGAAAAAACAGCGACAATGATTGATTTATTTTCTTGCTGCACATTAATCACGTGAAAGTCGCGGGCGTGCATTTAGAGAATATAAATGGGACTGGGAAAAAACAATGCGATGTAGAGTATGAAGGGTGCGTATTTATCTCTAACCTTCAAAGTTGGTAATGAGATATGTATTTATGGAGTGTATGCATTTATAGAGAGGGTGGTGCACTTATGGAGAGATTAACATATAACTGATATCACGTGATTTGATTATAAAGATGCTTTTTACAGATATCTCAAATTAACGAATACATATGTAAATTCAATAAGTCGGTTACTCGATAAGACGGCCAAAATTTTCACCCCATTTTCTTAATATTTAAGTAATTTAATTCGATAAGTCGGTTTACTCGATAAGTCGGTCATATGAGCTCACCCCCACATGACCGACTTATCAAGTTTACATATGTAGTTATATTATTATAATTTTTTGCATTAAATAATATAATTTAATCATATAGAATTTTTACCTTTATTTCATTTGTTTTGGAAGATTCAGTTAAATTGACTTTCCTAAATTGCAACTTTCAATGAGTGAAGGTAATATATTTGTAAGCTTTTATTATTATAAAGGCAGTTAGGTGGAGATTAAAAAAAAACATTTTGTTATTGTTATTTTTTTCCATTCTTGTAATGGCATTAGCTTCTACAACTGTAAAATCGTTGTTTCTTTGGTACTAAATTAAATTAAGGTAGTTAATTTAAATAGTATTGTTTTTGAACAATCTATTCGAAATTCGATCATTTGTTTATTTATTTTAGTGGATTCGAATAGATTTTATTGAATCGATTGAATGATGCGTACACTACAGCAAAAAATTTGGGGCAACCCATGTATCAATTGCGCAAAAACGCACATAATAAGTACACAAAAAAAAATATCAGCTTGTAGCCTAGGTCCTGCCTGTATAATACGAATGCAAATCTCGTGTTTCCTGAGTTTCCATATCATTTATAAATTAAATAAAGGAAATTCGATTATTTGAAAAAAAATTTAGTTCAAACTTTGCATGCGTAATTTACAGGACCTGAACCATAAACTAGTTTGTGTAATAGTATTTATCACGTTAAATTCTAGGAAATGTAATAGTAACAAACAAATGAATTATGTATAACAGCATGTGTGTACATTAATATTCCCCTTTTTAAATTATATTAATAGTCCAATTCTATCCAATTAAAAATTTGAGTAAAAATAAAGAAATATTACAACACCAATATCATTGGTGAAATACAATTTTTTTTAACGATAATCCATTTGTATGTTATGTCAAAAAAAAATTTAATTTCAAATTCACGTACATGTACAAATATTTACGTTTTTTTTGTATATATATACATATTCATTTAAAAAATATCCTTTTAATGATAAATACTTTTGCAAAAATTAATTGTAGTAAGCAAAATAATTGATAAAACATACATAATATTTAAAAGATAATAATCAATGGGCTTGAATTTCAAAAATAGCAAACTTCAATTAATATTTGTTATAATATTTATTATTAATAATGCATTTTCTGATTATAGTGCAACACATTATGCAGCTGTTAGTGTAGTGGTGGATAATAAACTTTACACTCTTGGAGGTATAAGCTTAGAAAAGGCAGTAATTACAACAGATTCATTTTTTTATGTGGATTTAACTAAAAATTTTGATGTTACAAATATACCATGGGTAGAAAATGACAAACTACCTATAGGAAATGCTTGGTCTGTAGGTGTAATTGGTGGATCAAATAAATCAACAATTTTTTTATTTGGTGGAATTATGGTAAATCAAATTAGTGATAGTTATGATTTCACCAACTTGCTTTATGCATATTGCGAGCATGTAAATTCAATTACAGCTCGGGTTGTGTCCAATAAAATATATAAGATAAAATAAATAAAAAGTCCAATATATAAATCTCCCTATCTTTGCACACAGCTAAGGGTTCTCAATTCCGACCTCTGATTACGGCACACAGCTCAGAGTCTTAACTTCCGGCCTCTGATT